GCTTACCTGCCTCCCCCATTGTTTCAGTCGGCACCCCAGCACACAGTCCTGTTACCTCTGCTGCTTGGCTCCCTCTCCCTCTCCAAGCCCAGCAGCAGTCGTGTTCCTGCTTCTTTCTCACAAGGGCAAGGGCAATGCCCATCAACTTTTTTGGGAGGGGGTGCCCCTCAAATATGATATTTGGAGGGGAAACCCATGTAGATTCCCAACTCTGTGGTTAAAGTGGTTATCAGAGGCTGTCACGGGGGGGGGGGGGGGCTGCTCTGAAGCATGCTGGGCAAGTGCAAACCCCATGAAACCCCCTAGTGTGCCCCCCCCAGCATTTTCTCCCTAGGGGAGGGGGGATACAAGCAGCTCCTCCTATTCTGCAAGAGGCCACTGCAGCGACATTAGCTCTCTCCCAGTGTTTTGCATTGCTTGTTTATATGAATGTAATTGAGTGTCAAACTCTGCCCTCAGCATGGCAACTCCAAATTTCCAGAGCTTGTTTCCATGAGCTCATTACTGAGCTAGACACCATGTTTCCTTCCATCTTGTCCGGCTGTATACCGTACTTGAGCTGCCTTCTTTCACCGCTCCAGGAGATTCACGTTTGAGAGACTCCCTTGCCTGGCAGCCAACTCCTAGGGGCTGTTTCATATATGTTGGAAGGTGCCCAGGCTGGTTGGCGCAACCCAGTCAGATGGGCATGGTACAAATAATAAAATTGTTGTCGTTGTTGTTGTTCTGAGTCATTTTGGATGGTGTCTGGTGTTGTTGTTAATTGAATTTATATACAGTGGTACCTCTGGTTGCGAATGGGATCCATTTTGGAGGCCCGTTCGCAACCTGAAAAGAATGGAACCTGCATCTGCACACGAGCGGGTCACGACTCGCTGCTTCTGCGCATGTGTGTAACGTCATTTCGCACATCTGCGCATGCGCGAGCGGTGAAACCTGGAAGTAACCCATTCTGTTCCTTATGGGTCGCCGCGGGCCGGAACCTGAAAACGCGCAACCTAAAGCAAAGGTAACATGAGGTATGACTGTACTGCTCTATACTGCTCTCAGGGCATTTCACAGAATAAAATCAAGATACAAAACCACAAGATATTAAATAAAAATAAAACAACAGAACAATAGCTGCCCTCCCCAACACATTTTAAAAGGGCATAGGATGTAAATTGGATGAGCCAAAGGCCTGGTTGAAAAGGAATGTTTTTGCCTGGCGCCTAAAGGTGTATAATAAAGGCGCCAGGCAAGCTTCCCTGGGGAGAGCATTCCACAGACGGGGAGCCACTGCAGAAAAGGCCCGTTCTCGTGTTGCCACACTCCAAATCTCTTGAGGAGGAGGCACATGAAGGGGGGTCTCGGAAGATGATCTCTTGGTCCGGTAGGTTCATATGTTGTTGTGACTAAAAATATATAAATTGTTTTTAAAGATGGAATAGTGAGTGAGATGGGTTGGCTGGCCTGATCTGGTGTGATCTAGGATTTCCTCAACATAATCTGACCCAATCCTATGTTGATACAAATTGGCCCAGTCCAATTCATTAATTGGATTGGGGTGAATCTGATGCACAGCCCAAGTGAAACATGTTCTTAAATAAACTGATTTTTTTCTAGCAACACTTAGCTCTAGAGCCCCTGCTGCCATATTGTCCCAAGTCTTTTTCTCAGTTGCCGTAATTCTCCTCATGAAGTTCCATTCTCAGCACCACAGAAACTTCAACATGGAACAGAAGTCCCTTGAAGTTTGCTCTCAGCTGTTCAGAAAGCCAAAGCAGCGTTATAAACCAGATGGTGTTGGGCAGAGTCTGAGAAGCTTGTGCTCAGACTGATCGATCACAGGTTACCTGGGGAGACGCTTTGCCACTTTTTGAGGGCTTCCAAGTGGCAGATTGAAGTGCTTGCTTAGTAATGTATATATTGCTTGCTGTTTAGAATAAAATCTTAAATCTTCTCACTCACTTGTGTTCTGTATTGCCTCTCAATCTCAGTTTAAAAGAACCACCTAGCATTTGGCAAGACAAGCATTTATAACATTGCCAAAAGAGTACTAAAGAGCTGAGGATAAAACACACGAATGGAGGATTATATTTTTAAGAGAGACCTTTATTCCAGGTAGGGTACCCCTCCTTTTTTTAGATTCCTATGTTGCTCTGCTTTAAGGAACAAAGAAACAAACAAACAACAAAACCAAGAACTCTGCAGGCAGTGCTCCAGACTGCATCTCACTGTAGGTTTATCAGTGGCCTGTAAGATTAAGCATCAGAAAGGGCAGGGTGAAGCTGCAAAGCTCTTTTAAAAAAATGTATAAGCAAAAATTCACAAAACTCAGACACCTCTTAATTATTTTAAGATCAGAAATAACCTCCCACCCATGAAAATATCAAATAAGTATGGAGGAAAGTAAACCCACTTAACTTCCTCCACAAAGAACCCCTGGATTTAGGTAGGCTTAATCCAATTTGTAGGGTCTCCTATGCCTGCAAATTTCACCCACTTTGGCCAAAAGGGGATTATGTGATTTCTCAATGAATGGGGACACAGAGCTTTATTTGGTTAGAGTTCTCTGGAACCCAAAACACAGATATAAGCAGAGAGAGTACAGAGTAATTAATGCACAGATACTTGGTCACACCTAGTGAGTTTGAATGTGTTTTGCTATTTGTCAATAAAAACTATATTACTTTGCCTGTTTATTTGTGTTGGCAACCAGTGGGGGAACATTTCAACCTCCAAGGCTTTAAGGCTGTAAGGCTTTACAGAAAAGTTGCATTCTGAGGAGGGCTAAACTCATTCCACAAATAAGAGCTGGTGTTGCTGACTCCCAGCTTGATGCATAGCCAATACATAGCCATCTCTTAGTGTAGCTGCTAGTAGCTGCCAGTGTAGCCACCTCCGACAGCTGGAAAAACTTGGATTTTTATCTCAGCAGCTGGTAAAATCATGTATGGACTATAACAATCTCAAAAACAATTGGGTAGTGCTTGGAATGAACAAGTTCAATGTGCACTGAATTAGTTTGAAAAACATCTGACCTACATGTGAAAGTAGTTCCCATAATTGCTGGGTAAACTGAAGATGAATTAAGTTGATGTTGGGGCAAAATGAACATGAATGGGAATTAGTTCTTTTACGGACATGTTGAACTTGAACTAGTTCCAAGCTCTGATATGGACAGAGACCTGATTTGAAGTCTTATTTGTTCTGATGTTGTGGTCTCTGGTTTATTCGTATTCTCAAAAACCAAGAAATGAAAAAGGAAAATAAAAAGCACATATCCCTCAAAAACAAAACAAAACAAAAACAAAGAAAGAATAAGAAGCACCGATCTGGAGTTATTTGTGGCAGGAGGACACCCAAAACTCCCTCTACTCCAACTGTGTTGAAGATGAACTAATCTTTCTCTGTTTCATAAAATACAAGGAAATTTGTGGGTATGTGTATGCTTACTTCCAGAGAAAAAACCCTCCCCAAAGGCTCAAGCTTTCCCTACCCACCCACCCAGCTGGTGAAGAAAAGATTAATCATTACAACAGGGAGGCTGAGAGAAAACAGGCTTGTGGTTCAGGTTAGGACAACTAAATTTGGACTGTTGCCTATAGCTTTCCCATGCCTGGATTAAATGATTTTTTAAAACAAAAATTAGAACAGTTGGGGAAATAATTGCAGTAGGGAGGATTCAGAAAAATACAATTTCTTATAATTTTAATATTTATTATTTTATTGAGATTAAGTAAATAAGGGAAAATTAAAGAATAGCAATCAAAGGAGGAAGAGAATACATTAAAACATTTTTAAAAGCAGCAATAACAAAATAACCACAAAATATACTAAAGGCTACAAAACTATATAGTATATTTTTGCATGGATAAGCATGTCTCGCAGGATCCCACCCAAGAAGATATCTGTGTTAGATCTTGTTTAATTTCAACTGCTTCAGATTTTGATATCTCCTCATTAAGATCAGTAACTTTTTGATCCAGGGCTGTAATTTTAAGATTCACCTTTGTTAATTTATCCTTCAGACATTAATTCTACATCACAATTTACTTAAGCGTATCAGCAATAGAACTCTCTGAAGCCATTTCTCTTCTCTTCTTTTCTCCATTCTTTATGCTTTGCTGCTGCAAATTTGCTCCATGTTGGAGGGGGAGACATCCATCGCTTTAACACTGACAGGTAGGATATAAGAAACATCTTACCTGGACAAAAATTTCCAGGCAGGCTACTGATTAACCATTGCTACAATAGGGCTGCCTTATGTCTGGCATTTGTCTGTTGGAAGTAGTGTCCAGGCAGAATTTTTGAAAATTGGTAAAAATGTCTGTGAAAAGATATGGAAAACCATGGCAAGCTATGTCAGAAGTGTTGGGGTTTTTTTTGGTGAATTTCCTTTAAAATAGCTCAAACACCTCTTTCTGTGAAATGTCAAAAGTGTTGCTTTTTTGGGGTGAATTTCCTTAAAAATAGCTCAGAAACTTCTTTTGTTTTTGGGAGATTTTGCCAAAAAAACTCATCAACTTTGCCCTCCCCATCTCTATAACTTCGCCCCTCCCCAATAAGCAAAAAGCTATATAACTTTTGTATCCAGGTTTCCACTTTTTGACATACACTGGTATCTCGAGTTAAGTACTTAATTCGTTCCAGAGGTCCATTCTTAACCTAAAACTGTTCTTAACCTGAAGCACTGCTTTAGCTAATGGGGCCTCCTGCTGCTGCCGCGCCACCGGAGCACGATTTCTGTTCTCATCCTTAAGGAAAGTTCTTAACCCAAGGTGCTATTTCTGGGTTTGCGGAGTCTGTAACCTGAAGCGTATGTAACCCGAGGTACCACTGTATGGCAGTGCTACAATTGCTGAGCTGAAGAGTAATAAAGGAAGCATGCTAGGATGCCATGTTGCAAGACTGGAAGTCGAACTTGTGAAGAAAGCAATTGGTTGATGCTGTGGTAGAAAGATGAGATAATGCATGTTGTATCTGGATGTCTCTTCCCAGGTAGATGTATTGGCTATTTACTTGTGTCTCTTGGGCTCAGCAGCCTTTGCCTGAACTTTCTCTGCATCTTTCACAGCGTTTTCCAGGAAATTCTTCAGCATGTAGAATGTGGTAGCAAAAGAACTGCCCCCACCATAGAGAGACCCCAACACAGGTATGAAATCCAGAACCGCCTCTACCACTGTTATTGCTCCCCACATTGCTGACCTCTTCAAGATATCCATGGCAAATTCTGTCGTGATCTTACCGGTGCTTGGGGTATGTTCAATAACAGATTTCAACTCCTCTACAGGTTTCCCCACACGATTTGCTAGTATATTGAGGGAATTTTCATCTAAGCCAAAAACTTTGCAGATATGGCTCATAGTTGTAACCAGAATGCCAATGTCACAACCAAGCGAGAGGAATGGGAGAGGAATCAACCCAACAGAACAGCTCGCTATGGCTTTTTTCCATATCAGGCTCTCCATAGCAGCCTTTTTCTTTCTAATGCTATCTTTTGTTAAAATCGGAAGACACATAATTAAAACATCTCTCTTGATTTCATCCTGTTCCTGTTCAATGGTCTCTTGAAGGAGGGGAAAATCATACTTGCTCAAATCCCACCTCGATATTAGAAAGACCCTTGGAGAAGACTCACCTAACGCCTTCAATTTCTCATAGCTATCTTTCCGTACAGCGTCAAGAGTTTCCTTTTCAGACTGCATCATCTCATCGGTGTCCCCCACATCGATGCCTTTTGACCGCCTGTCATTATCTATATCGATATCCACTTTGCTGCGCACATAGTAGAATTTCTTCTTATTTTTCTGGATCTCAAGAGCCAAGTTGGTGTCATCCTCAGTGAAGCGTCCTGAGGAGACAATGATGAAAAAATCATAATTGTTGAAATTGACCTTTGTTAGGTATTCCTTTGCACTAAAATTATTTGTTCCAATTCCTGGTAGATCCCAAATTTTGAAGTTGGGGAATGCGGGGTGTGAATATTCTTGTGGCACCATTGTTGTTTCTGTCACCCCCGTCTTAGCTGCACCCTCTCCACGATCTTTCATTCCTCGCAGGGCATTGACAAAAGATGATTTCCCGGCACCAGATCTTCCTGTGATGGCAATTGCCAATGTGATGTTATTTAATAAATTTGACTGCTGTTGAGCTTCAGCTGAAACAGCTTCAAATGGTTTTTTCTCCACAGCAGCCTTCACTTCAGCAAGGTCTTTTTTTAAGGTTTCTATTGTTACGGCAGGATCCATGGCAGTGATTCCTTGTGGCTCAGTTTATCTGAGAAGGAGAAGAAAACTATAATAGTTAAATGATAGCCTTCAACACACTTTTATGGACATATTTACAACCTATGTTTTATGGGGGGGGGAATCAATTTACATAGGACATATCTCTAAGACCAGTGGGTTGTTTGAGCAGCAGTCGGTAGTATCTCAATAAAGTGAAGAATTGTACCTGTTGTCAATCTCTCAGAAATCTAGATGTGCATGCATTCACACATAACCCTTAAAACATGTTTATGTGAGATGTGGATCTTTTTTGAACTCAAATTGCTCATTCCTCTAGAGCAGGCATGGACAAACTTGGCCCTCCAGCTGTTTTGGGACTACAACTCCCATCATCCCTGACCACTAGTCCTGTTAGCCTGGGATGATGGGAGTTGTAGTCCCAAAACAGCTGGAGGGCCGAGTTTGGCCATGCCTGCTCTAGAGATTTGACTAAAGGAAGCATTTACACACACACGCTAAGGATTCCTCTTTTTTCCCCTCTAAAACTTTGGATAAAACACTTAATAAAAAAAATAAGCCAATGCACTGTGCGTATCCCTAGTATATTCTGGCCAAGTCTTGTAATGCCACTTTCACAAAAGTGACCATAAAATGAAGAATATTTTTAGAAATATCACCAAGGGGGAGATAAAAAAAGGAGTCAAAGGGTAGAAATAAGTGATGCAGAAAGAGCCCAGAAATATTCTTAAAGGGCAGTACTGGGGAAAATATCCACACTGGGTTCTTGTCAACTAACCTTTACCCAGCGATGACTCAATGAAATTAATAACCATGCCTAAGATCCATTAATTTTAATAGGTCTACTCTGAGTAAATGTTAGTTGAAGACAACCCATTATCAGCAACATTATCTTGACCCGAAAGCTATATAAATATATTGAATAAATAAAGGAAATACAGCTAAAGAAAAAAAGAGAGCATAAAATCCTTTTTAGAATTAAGGATATTCTGAGGACCTAACTGCACGATACATTAAGTGTGGGGTGTTATCAGTGGGGTTTTGTTTGTTAGCCTGTCTGGCTGTCTGTTTGTTTGTTTGTTTTAATTGCTATGGGGAGGTGATTTTGCAGCAGGACTAAAGTGCATGGGGAAGGGAAGTTTTATCTTTGGTACCACAGTCATGGAAGGATACGGAAAGTCCCGAAAGGGCGACTTGGGAAAGTCATAGAATCATAGAACTGTAGAGTTGGAAGGGACTCTGAGGGTCATCTACTCCAACCCCCTGCAATGCAGGAATATGCAGCTGGTCCATACAGGGATCGAACCTGCAACCTTGGCGTTATCAGCACCATGGTCTAACCCACTGAGCTATCCAGGCTCATCAGGCAGCACCTACCCAGAACCAAGAGAACCTCCAGCATCTTCTGCCCTGCCCTGCCCCGAACCCTTGCCATGCAGTTTTTCTAATCAGAAGTGGTGCACAGATACCATTTTTACACACCAGCAAGTGCTGGGACGCAGCACTGTTCCTGCTGCTTTCTTGTAGGGACTGGGGGCGGGGGGGTCTGCAGAGGGATATATTGAATTAACACGCAAAAGGGAGACCGGTGGCATTGGCTTCAGGGCAGTTACTTAAAACTCTTACGCTTTGCTTCTGCACTAAGGGGCAGCCCAGATGGTCTCTGCCTCGTCAGCACTCAGGGCATTGTTTGGAGAATAGAAGTTGCTGTATTCCTCTGTTCTGCACCCCGTTCCCCGCTCTGACAAAGAGGGTGGGGTCATGAACTGCACATTGCAATGCTGATAGACGCCTTTTATTAAACTCGGGTGCGGGGGGGAGAGGGGGACACCTTTATAGTAGCATGAGCTCTGCTTGCTTCCTGGTGATGGCATGTTATTTATTCCCTTTGCCGCGGGGAAGAAGGGCAGCCTTCTCGAACATCATTGTTAATAATTATATTATTGTTAATATATGATCTGATCTGATCTGATATATGATATCACAATAGCTATAATGTAATGGATAATATAATAACAATAAAAAGGTAAAAGCACCAAGCAAGGAGCTCAGAGTCTCCTTTAACGCAAAGAAGCTCAAAAAGAAACGGAAATCATTGTAGATCGAGGAGAAAAGTTCAACTCCTTACCTGCTGCTGGATCGATTTTTTGCAGCCAAGCTCAGTCGTCTTCTTGGAGGTTTTGCTTCGAGGTTTCTCGCGCTTTTCTCCGTCCTGCTCTCTCCCTCTGTCTCCCTTTTATACCTTCTCCTCCTGACCCTCACGCTACTAAAAGCAAAAAAGAAAGCGAAGGTAGCCAACTAGGATGAGATAAGATCGCAACAAATAGCCGAAGCCGCATTCCTGGCCAGAAGGAGCTCCAAGCAGCCCGTTTGCCAGCGGGGACGCTGCCTTTTCTGGGAAGTCACCTGTGGAAGCACCCCATGTGGGCAATCCTTTACCTCTGCTGTTGTTGCCTCTGTGCCAGTCTCAGCAGCACCCGAGTTGTCAGCACCTCCTACTACAGCAGTGTAGAATATTTGCAAAGAACCGTAGAAATTTCCTAGATTTTTTTTTAAAAAAATCTAGTTAATCAGGTGCAATCATTTCAGCTGGTGTGCTCTGAGCATGAGTAATGTGGGATAAAATCTTTAGGCTGGGGTGTAAATGGCAGGCTGGGGGAACAGAGCAGTGCTATGAGGAGAATTCGGCTGATCAGGGCATGTGGCCTCCCTGGTTGCACAACCAGACATGCATCTGCCGTACATCAGATGCGCACTCGGCACAGACTTATTAATATAAGAATGCAATGACAACAAGGTTCTGCTTCATATCTGAAGTGTGTCAAGTTCTTTCTTCCAACCCGCTCTCTGCATAGACCTCTCCTGTTATTTGCATTAAAAGATGGGGGCTTGGTAGTGAAAGGATTTCATTAGCATGTGCAGAGATACTTTGTTCTGCTTAGGGAACCCTTTCAGCACTAACAGGAGAGAGTGTGAGCAGCTGAAGTGAGAAGACTATCCTATCCTCCTATCCTCAAACAACTGTTTGTCAAGGATCTCGAGGAGCAAATAAGTCTTATCAGAGGTCCTTCAAAGTCTTTCCCTCCCAGCCTGCTTTCTCCTTGCTCAGCGGGCAGGCTTGTGATCCCAATGATGTTAGACCTCCTGCTGCTCTTGAGCTTCTCCCCTAAGGTTAACAGCAGCACTGGGGGGAGAGGGATTATCATCAGAATCATGGGATGGGGAGGGAAAGTTTCAAACTGCCTGCAAAACCCTTCTGTCCTGTTGAGTTGACTGGGGAGCATCTGAGAGTGCTTAAAAGGAGGCTGGACAGCAGAAGTTAACAGTTATCTGAAGCCCACTGTCCCCGATTGCCCATGAAACTAGGCTAACTATCTGGAACCTCCCCTTCTCCCACCTCCAAGATGGCTGATCAGTAGAAAGGTACATTGTGAGCCTCATAAGACTAGGCCGTTGGACAAAAGCAGTCTGAGGGGTGCAAATGGCATGCTTCCGAAGCAAAGTTAGAAGACCTCCCTCTCTCTCTCCCGAGCAGTGGCAAGAGGCTGTGGGGTTCCTGGCATGCACCCAGGGTCTGTGGTCCTTTGGAGAACTGAGACACGGCAGGGGGGTCTTTTGCCACCACTTATTGGATGCTGTCAAGCTTCCTGAATAATCTAGCTGAGGATGCTGAAAGGGTTCGAAAGAAAGCCCTAGGACTGGAAGAGTGTGAGGCAGAGCATCTCAGGGCCAAGTAGAACTGGCACAAGACATGGTGCAACCCAAGGTGGGGTAATAGGAGCTGCTGCTGCTGCTATGGCAAGTCTTCCCACTTTGGCACCCCTTTTCTTACCCATTTTAGCTGGTTCTAGAGACAATGGAGCAGACCCTATAGCTGATTTGCCTTACCGCAATACGACACAATCAAGCTTTTTAAAAAAGCAACAATTTTTGTCAAGTCCTTTGGAGACAAGCGTGCCAGACAGGCACACCACTGCTCCCCTTTTCCTGTATGGAACCAAATACTCTTATGAATTGAATTGACCAGGTTTAATCAATGCACCCTTAAAGATTCATTAAATATGTTGTGTCCACAGTGAATGCTATTTTTAACTGATACTTTTAAAATATACTCCAATGTAAACTAGAAACATTTGTCATATTGATGTAACATGCTATCGAAACCTTTCTGTGTAACTTCTACCCAGACAGGCCTTTAAGAAAGAGAATTCTTTGATTTTGATGTAGTTTTATTAGATGTTGCAAAAATTATTTTGTTAGATGATAGTAGGCAATAATCAAAATTACTGTAGAAGTTGAAGTGTAGGTATTTTGGGAATATAGCTTTTTCCTTTCTGAGGCTGCAGATTTTGTGGAATGTAATCTTGCTTTTCTTCGATAATGGAGAAAGCTTAGAAAAAAAGCTCTCTGCAAAGGAAAAAAAAAGGAAATAAATATCCATTCCTTTGAGCACCCCCTCTCTCTTTCATTTGACCCATATAATATTTTGCTTCCTGCCTAATTCTAGCCTTGCTGCTTCAGGCAATAATAATTTAGTTAAGATTTAGTCAAGGTTTCTCAGCTTTAACAATATTTTAGATTGGTAATGGTAACATATTATGATTTCCCCTCTGAATAAAGCAAAACTGTCACACTGCCCTCTCTCCTCTCCCCCTTTTACTTCAAAAATGCTTTGCTGTCACTAATGCAGCAGCCCCTCTATTCTCCCTTGCTTTGCGGAAGAGGGTCATCTCTCAAAGTGAGACATTCTGGGTTAGGTGGCCAGAGAGAATTGCCTGCACCAACATGTTTCCACAGGCGCTAGAAATTGTTTTAAAACATAGTTAAAATTTTGAGGTTAATAAAGAAAGGATTGGAACCACTTCAAACTTTTTGTTATCACATTCTTTCAGAGAAGAACAAAATACCCCAAACTATTGTAATCGGTCTTAATGGTGTTTGATCTCCTTAATGGTTTGATATCCTTACTGCCTGTCTCGCTGCCCAGCAGTCTCCTTGCCTGAGCTGAAAGAACCTCTCAGAGGGAGGTTGAAGACTCGTAGACTGCTGGTTTGGGGGGACTTCAGCATCCATGCCAAGGTGACCAGCTCTGGGGTGGCTTAGGACCTCATAGCTGCTGTGACAACCATGGGGATGTCCCAACATGTCAACAGCCCAACCCATGTGGCAAGCCGCTCTCTGGACCTTTTTTTCTCAACTGGGCAAGAAGAGCGTGATCTTTCCCCCTCTGCAGAGGTGGGGGACCTAATAGGATGGTCGGCCCTCAGAGATGGCTCTGGGGGATTTCCCATCATGCCTTAGTACCCAATCAGATATGTGATAGGTACGTTGGGTTCAGCTTAGGTCATTTATGTTATCATCTGGCACTCCTCAATTCTACCCAAGCCTCTTGTTTTCTGTATAGGACTAAATTTAGAGAATATTTATGTGTGTGCTATGTATTACGAGCTTGTATTAATAAACTTTCATGCTGAATTTTCCTTGGTTTGAGAAGTGCTTCTTCATTTTTCCAGCCAAACCTGAAACCAAGGACTGGCGATACCAACCCATGCTCTCCAAAAGGAGCTGGCTCCACAAACAGTGGTGGAGCTAGGTGTTCTGGCTCCTGGGGTAGGGCTAGCCGCCCATGGGGGCAGGGCGAGCGTTCCAGGGGGGTGCCGAGAGGCCTTGCGTCCCATGGCGTCCCTTTCCCCCATCCATTCATATCTCAGCTCCCAACAGCCTCCTCTGCAACCCCCATCGCCCTAGAGTCTTCATCCAAAAGTGGCCTTCACCACCCCAGTGGCCTCCCAAGACAAGCATGGAGAGGAGATGATATGAGGAGGAGAGACAGAGAGAGGGGCCTTTTCCGGACTGCTCTAGAGAGCCCAGCTCTCTCACTCCCCTTAACCCTTATGTGGTCGCACTGCTCGAAGATTCCTGCCCAGGGGGAAATTGCGCAAGGCACCGGGAGGGATCCAGATCCCACCATGAGATCCCGCTAGATTCAGGATAAGACTCGGCAATGCTTGGCTAGGCTCCCATGCTGGCATACATAGGGGCCAACTCCTAGCGGCCCAGCTCCCTTGGGGGTTGATGACGTATTGGATGGGCCAATTGCAGAGCAGTGGCGTGATCTGCCCCTGTCCACAAAGTGTGGCAGTAGGTGCTAACTAAGCAGTTAGCACAACAGCGTGTTAATGCAACGTGACTACTTTAGTGACACCTGCCTTCCCATCATTATTCAATCAGGAGGCAAGCTGAGTAAACAGAGGAGCTCTTATTTCAATCTTAGCCCATGAAGAGGTCCAATTTGGCCTGCGATCACAAAATTTTTCAAACCATGTCCACCTGCCAAACAGCTGCCATTAGCTGATGCGCAGGTGCATGGCGTTTGATTCTAGGTTGGCTCCAGGTGTTGGCTAAGACAGCAGGGAATGGGTGCAGGCAGTGAAAGCAAAAGGATTTAATCTCGCAATTATCAGCTGTTAAATCTTGTTCTGTATGGCTGTGAGTACCTGCTCACACAGAGCCCCGTTTTTTGCAAGTGCTAGATGCAAGAGGAAAAACACAGTTGTTGTTGTTGTTGCTTTTGCTGCTGCTGCTGCTGTTGTTTTTAAACACCCTATGGATTCAATATTAAGTCATATGGCTAATGGTGTTTAAGTTTTATTTTACAACCTGATCAGCAGGACCTTTTATTGCCCATCTAAAGACTGCTGAATCTTCCTTTGAATGAAAAGACAAGTAGTTTGCATTCTAAAAATCTCTTTTATTAATCAAAATAGTCCCGGGAAATAGTGTTTCGTTTTCTGGATTCATCAGTGTCACAAACTCTCAGATTTTTCCACCTACTGCTGCTTCACTGCTTTGGCTGCCTCTGTCCAATCAGCCTGGTTTAAATTCCTATTGGCTGTTTGCTAGAACCAATCATAAAAGATACACCCATTTCCTATTACCTTTTATGGGAGACAAAGAGCTATATTTCCTTCTATCCATAAATGGCAGACAAGTAGCCATATATCTTACATTTGCCTCGACAAGGCACCTTAATTACCAGATCACCTTTTGCCCCTGTTGCCCCTGCATTCCAAAACAAATGGCTAAAACAAATGTCTTGTGGTATTAAATTCTGTCTAAACAGAGATCTTGGGTTCACATTCTCACACACCATCAAAGAAACAAGAATCTAACATAAGAATCTAACATTTCTTACTTTCTAAATCCTTTGCCTAATTACATTAAGCCAACAAATCTCATACATAACATAGATAGCTTTTTAGAAGAAAAGGCCTTTGCAAAGTAAAAAAGGAACTCAGTAAAAAACAGCTTCAAAAGAAGCCTCTTCAGTTTACACCCCCCTTTCCCAGCCAGCTGCTCTTCCCATTAGCTCTTCCCAAAATTTATTGCCCTTTAACTCTCTCAGTATACCTTAAACCTTAGGAAAATATGGCTAGAGTCTGATGGGAGGAACATGGTATTATTTTCTGTTAAACAATAAATCTTACTATTTACCAACTCTTAATTAGTGTTTTTGCAGCTTGATTGTATTCTGTAATATGTAGGGTCAGTGTAACATTTGCTCCCAGCCTGTAATTCCCTTTTACAACTTTGAGAAACTTGTCTCCTGCTACTGCTATAAATCAGGGGGGCCCTTGTTCAGGAGAGCAGGAAGATAAACAACTGCCAAAGTACTTAGCCAGCTGGTTTCTGCCTGGCATGAAACATACAAACATTTGCAAATATATCTTTAAGCTCATTTTAAAATACAGGCCTTGATCAGATGCCTCATAACCACCACAAGAGCCCAAAGGCTCACCACCAAATACCCTTACACCTGTAACCAATGCCTCAAGTCTTCTGCAATATTGGCCAGCCATATATCATTCCCCCAATTGGAAAGGGGTACGACATCATCACAAAATAGTGCCATCATGGTGAAAACTATGGAAGGGTGTGCGATCACCCGGCCACCCAACGTGATCACCTTCTGTGAAACGGAACGATTCAAGTGTTTTCGGGCATAATCTGTTGCTGCTGGAGAATTGCTGCCACACCAAACGCGTCTCTCCAAGAGCAGCGACCAAAAGAGAGTCTTTTTTGGGAAATTCAGTGCAAGATTGTCCAAGTCCTTTTTGATATTGAAGAGCAAGTCCACGCCTTTCCGGCAAGGCAAATCGTTCTCAACCAGCTGCAAAACCAAGTGTTGGGGGGGCCATGTGCATCCACCCTGGCCTTCACAATTGGCATCATCTCTGCCCAGCGCATCCCATGTGCGATGGAAAACCTAGCTGGCACCCCTGGCCGCTAGCTGCTGCCTGTTCCCAGGCCCAATGGACGATACCGTGTCCCACAATCCAAATTTCTATGCGGTTTGTCCCTGAAAAGCAAGAAAATCTCAGAGAGGTGTAAGTGATAGGTCTGTTTTAAATTTTGGAGTTGTCGCGGATATAACTTTTGTATGCGTTGGATTGCCAGCGTCCCATGTCTTTTCTTCTGTCCACTGGCAAACCCCAGTGGGCTGCCATTGTAGTGGGCCTGATCCAAAAAGAGTGGTGTTTGAGTTTTATTTTACAACCTGATCAGCAGGGCCTTTTATTGCCCATCTAAAGACTGCTGAATAAAGCTACGCTTTCCAGTAGTGAAATGACAAGTCAGATTTGACCATTCTGAATGTTGATAAACAAAGAATCTGACGCCTTTCCATTATGGTGATTTTGAAGATTGCTTTGAATTCATTTCACGGGGAGAAGAGCAATCTTATCTGTTCTGCAGAAATCAGTCCTAAGTGCTCAGCTCGAAGGACATATCTATTGTTGCTTTGGCTCCATTCCTTTGGCTAACTGTCTCGTGAAGTCCCCCGAAAAGACCCTGCTCCTGGGAAGATGGAGACACAGGAGAAGTGATCACTGTCTACAGATGGTTGGTTACTGTCTGAAGCTACCAGCATGAGTTTGACCAAACTGTGGGAGGCAGTGGAAGACAGAAGTGCCTGGCGTGCTCTGGTCCATGGGGTCACGAAGAGGCGGACACGACTAAACGACTAAACAACAAAGACTGCTGAATCTCCCTTTGAATGAAAAGACAAGTAGTTTGCATTCTAATGTAGTAAACAAAAATCTGCCCTTTTCCCTTATGGGATTTTTAAATTGTTTTAATTCATTTCATGGGAGTGGCCACAGCAATTTCTTTCAAAGGGTATAGACTGACGGAGGAGGGAGGCTGACAAAGGGGGGGCGGGAGTTGAATTGCAAGGACATTCTCTCACTTTTTAAACCTCAAGACTCTGTGCTCCAGGACTGAAAAGATGTGTAAAAGATCATGATTGCCTCAAAATATGCAACTGATATTTAATTAGTTTGTTGTGTGATATTATGTAGGAATGCTAAAATGTGTCTGACAGTATGTTCTTTCCACAAAGGGGGGACCCAATTATTGTGTGTACTGTAATTGTTTTTATGTTCAATGTTATTGCTTACATCAGTGGAGGATTCTCATGCATTCTGAGCCTTCTGATAGATCAGGCTATTGCGTAATCCAGTATTTAGATTAGATCATGTTCCACCTGGCGCACTCTGCAGTGTGCCAACCTTCCTTACCCATTTTAAAATGTGCTAAAACTCATTTGTTTTTGTTCTCCAAATGGTTTACAATGAAGAGGAAACAGAGCCACCCAGTTTAGGTTTCGCTTTCTCAGAAATCAGCCATTTGAGCAGAGCTGTGTCCAGGCAAGCATCCAGGAATTACCAGCAACGGGACATTTAGTCCTAAATACATTGCCGCCCCAATCTATTGTTTGTGGATCATAACACATTGGTTTAATCAGAGGTCAGCAAACTTTTTCAGCAGGGGCCAGTCCACTGTCCCTCAGACCTTGTGGGGGACCAGACTATATTTTTTTTGGGGGGGGGTAAGAATTCCTATGCCCCACGAATAACCCAGAGATGCATTTTAAATAAAAGGACACATTCTACTCATGTAAAAACCCGCTGATTCCCAGACCGTCTGTGGGCCAGATTTAGAAGGTGATTGGGCCGGATCCGGCCCCCGGGCCTTAGTTTGCCTATCCATGGTTTAATGCACCTCCCTCCTCATCCCCATGAAGTTCCACACATAGCCCGCTTCCCAGACTTAGATCTTGGCTTCAGAGGAATCTGGAAGGTCCCAGTCAGAACCAAATCACATTTCAAGTTGCTTTGTCGCATTATTGTTGTTGTTCAGACCCATGTAAATGTCGAAACAGAAGACTCCTGCTGGATCCGTCCAACCAGATGCCTGTGGGAAACTCGAAAGCAGGACCTAAGCACAAAAATATTTTCCCCTCCGGTGGTCTCCAGCAACTGGTGTTCAGATGCATTGCTGCCTCGTACTGGGGAGACAGAGTATAGCCATTGTGGCTGGAAGCTACCGCTTGCCAACAGATGGTTGATGCACACCAATGCACTTTCATCTCAAAACCCACATCTTTAAAAGAGGTTTTGCCCAATGTATTTTTGCATATTATTTCAGAACACCTGCGCCACAACCAGCTGGGCTATGATGGGGTGGGGGGATGATGGCACACAGTGCTGTTGCACCTGTGTCATACCCTCCAACATTTCTCCGATAGAAATAGGGACAGCCTAACAGAGCCTTAGCTAGGTGATCTTGAGAGCCTGGCAGAACTGTCCAGATTGTGCCCCCTAGAGCCATGGACAAATTGGCTCTTCTTTCTGTCTCTCCTCCAACCCCCCCCCCAGCACCCATTCAGCCCATTCAGTTCAATTCCTCACACACTTCACCTTGTAATGAATTCCCTTTTGTAATGAATTCTGATTGAAGGAGACCAAAACAGAGAGAGGACACCAAGATGGGGAAGGCTGACCTAGATGATGCTATATAGGCGTCTCCTCACTTACGTGTGGGTTACGTTCCGGGGCCTGGTGTGCATAAGTGAAGTCGCATAAAGTGGGGAGCACCCCACTTTAATAGGGAGGAGTGCATGGGAGCCGGCTCCTTGGGGTCAAGGTTCCTTTGCCCCTCCCTAAAATATTTGAGAAGGCTGCCCCCCCCCCCGTTAATGGGCATTGCCATTCAAGTAGTGTGTGTGTGTGCTCCATCTTGATCATACAGGGCAGTGCTTACCTGCCCCCCCATATATTTTATTCAAGTTGACACTCTTGAAGGAGGGTGTGCTAGAGGAGAGAGATAGAGAAGTGACTCCGGAGTAGGCAGGCTTTGAACTTGGCGAATCCCTCCCCCGCGCCCGGAGAGGCAGGGGTGTGAGCAGTGAGGTGAGCTGGGCAGTATCAGGCGCTGAAGCTGGTGCAGGGGCGGAGGAAAGTGGGTGCAGTAGGGGCGGCCTGCCCTGGGTGTCACCACTGAGGGAGGTGACATAATGCTGGGCGACATTCACTGGTGTACCTTCCTGGCCCCGACCCCAAGCGAGGTCCGGGAGAGGCAGAGCTGGTGCCTCATGGCCAAATGGGACGGGGCACTGCGGCACGCACAGGGAGGACCAAGCAGCGAGGGGGGCAGTTGGGAGCAGCCGCTACCCAGCACACCTTCTTCCCCATCCTGCCTGGGCTGTGGGCAGTGAGAGCTGGCCAGACAGGGCGCCTGGCGGAGGGTCTCGGCAGCCGATTTTGCACCCCCCGCCCCGCTACGGCTCTGTGTCCTAAGGAAAATGGGGCATGTTTAGGGAAGCTTTTAATGTTTAATAGGATATTGTATTTTAGTGTTTTCTTGGAAGCCGCCCAGAGTGGTTGGGGGGACCCAGCCAGATGGGCGGGGTAGAAATAATAAATTATTATTATTATTATTATTATTATTATTATTATTATTATTATTCCAGGGTCAAATCAGAAACCAGGATGGCTTCTGTAAATCCAGGACTTAAACTTGAAGGGTCAGCTGTGAATGGTAGTGGCTGTAAAACTGAGAGGCGGATGTAGTTGTACAGGAATTTCAAGAGCATTTTTTAAAGCTATTTACTTAGGACTTTGTAATAACTAGAGGGAGATCCTGAATAAACTTACCACGGCCAAAGACTTGATCATTAAGCCAGCTGACAAAGGTGGTGAAATAGTGCTACTGAATAAAGCAGACTATGTAAAGGAAACTGAGAGCCAGTTGAGTAATACCCACTTCTATTTACCTTTACCTGGTGATCCAACCACGGTGATAAAGAATAAACTTCAGTCCATTCTAGATGAAGCTGTCTTATTAGGCTATATTGATACTGCTGTGGCTGAATTTCTATGTCCCCAGCATACGAGGGTACCTATATTCTATACCCTCCCCAAAATACATAAAAACATACTGCCCCCACCAGGGAGACCAATATTTTCAACCTCAGTCTCTCTTCTAGAAAAATTGTTCACACTACATCGATAGCTTCTTGAGTCCCCTTACCAAAGAAACACCGTTGTATATCCGTGATACTAAACATGTCATTACCTTCATCGAGAACCTACCTGTTACCCAGCATAATATCAGAGCTACTTGGGATGTTTCCTCACTATATACCAATGTACCCCTAGATGAAGTGAAGACACAGATTCAGGATATGTTAATAGATCATAATAAAACATCTCCACCAGTACATTTCCTCATGGAAATTGTATCTTTAATTTTGGACAATAATTACTTCTGTTTGGGGATGAAATATTACATCCAGAAACAGGGTGTGCCTATGGGATTGAGATGTGCTCCCAGCGTGGCCAATATTTTCATGAATAATTTTGATTTAGAACACATTTTTCATAATGACCCATATGGAGTATATTTGTTGTTTTATGGACATTACATTGGTGATTTATTGTTTATATTCACTGAGGGTATTTTTGATCTGTTTAATCTGTGGACAAATGGTCTAAACTCACATTTAAAATTTGAAGGTAAATTCAGTTCTAGTTCTTTACCCTTTCTTGATTTGGAAATTTACATTGACCAGCTAAAAATCATGGTTCGCCCTTTAAAAAAAGTACAGATGTAAATTCTTTACTTCATTATAGTTCCAATCATCCAAGATACCTTCGAGATAACCTTTTGTTTGGTCAATTTCTATGGCTCAAAATAAATTCTTCTAATTTGAAGGATTTTAAATATCACTCTGACAAGTTGGTAACCTCATTCCTAGAATGCAGTTGCCCACGTACGGTGGTGTCCGCAGCCATACAAAGAACTAAAACTAAGGATAGATCCACACTTTAAAAAACCTGGACTGATACTCATGAGATCACCAAGAGAATCCATTCTTCCTTAGAATTTAATCACATGACGAGAGACATATATTCCTGGTTGCGTGGTTCCTCCACACTTTGGGAAATGACGCACTAGATCCCTTCGAGACATACTGGTACACACTGATCTAAAACCCATACCACAACAACAGATTTTAATAGCAGCCCTGAGAGGTTTTTTCAAGTGCGGACACTGCGTTGCATGCAGATACGCACTTCCGGTAAAAGAGTTCACCAACAGTGAGGGTTTAAATTCACCATACATCATTTGCTACATGTGCTACTGCACGCACTGTCTATGTAATAAAATGCACATGTGGTTTATTATATGTGGGACAAACCACAAGACCAATCAGAACCAGGATATCGGAGCACTGTTCTAAGATCAGAAATAGACTTTTGGGTGCTCCTCTGATATCCCATTTCATTCAAAAGTCACACACTGAGGATGGCCTTACATTTTTTGTACTTTGGACCTATCAAGGACCTCTTGAAAATGCAGGAAGAGTCCTTACACAGAAGGAAAGCAGATTTATTTATTTTACTCAACACACTTCATCCTTTAGGTCTAAAAACTGAATTGTATACCTGCTTTTATAATGACATATCCCACACATATGTCAGGGGTCAGCAACCTTTTTCAGCAGGGGGCCGGTCCACCGTCCCTCAGACCATGTGGTGGGCTGGACTATATTTTGGGGGAAAAAGAACGAATTCCTATGCCCCACAAATAACCCAGAGATGCCTTTTAACCCCTGAGCTATGTGAAACATATACTATATAAGAGCTCTGCCTATGTGACACCATTGTGGTCATATTCCTTTAAGACTGCATTTAGGTTAACACCTGTCTCATCATATGGTTTTGCATATTAAGGGTGTACTGAGATTCATTGGCCATTACTATTGAGAATCGTCCAAGAATCATTGTTTACGTGATCTGTTACACACTTTGATGGTATGCACAACCTCTGTATCTTTTAATGCTTGATAATGCTTAATAATGTATGAACTTCATAATTTTTAGTCATGATATAATATATTTATATTTGTAATTTCTACATGTCTAATATTAATCATTGTATTATCAAGTGTTTATATTTATTATATAGAACTATTAACAGCTGAGGAAGCCCTTCGGGGCAAAACAAGGAAATATCCGGAAACCTTGTCCTACCCAACCCAGCTGCCTGGGCCAGCCTGCCTGTGTCTGCTACCTATGCTAGCCAACCTCAACAGCTGTATCGTCCATTACATTCCGGGGACCTTTCCTTAACCACATTTGAGGACTGTGTAATATAGGAACTCAAACAAACATGTATTAAGAAAGGAAGAAATGTATCTACATTGGATTTAATTAAATAGGTTGGTTGCAGGAATTTATGTATAGGTTGGGGGGGGGGGTTGCCCCTCCAGCAGATATCATGCACGTGCAGCCCACTACCAAAATCAGCACAATCGCCTTTGTGACTTTTGTGATTTGTCCCCACAAAACACTTCATCACAGTTTCTTCCTATCTATTCAAAGCGCCTTTGCTGCACGATACCAAATGTAACAATTCACTGATAAATGTATCTATGTACTGGCTCACGGGGAAAACTTCAGAAATTCATATAGACATGTGAGCTCACTATGGGTCTTTCGGATGATCAAAAAATAATAAACCAGCACGATCATGTACTGCTCAGCAACAGAGCATTTATAATAAATTATATTATCAGCTCTGTTGCTGATTATTTATTTATCCTGCTTAATCTTAGAAAGGGAAAGGGAGCTGCGGCTTTTTGTTATCTTGGAGCAGAAATTACATCCTGTTTTCAAGCTTTCCTCTCCCCCCACGCTTGACCAGTACACAGCTCTGCTCAAACAGGTGATTTCTGAGAAAAGGAAACCTAAATGAGTCTCCCTAGTTCCTCCCCCTTGTAAATAATTTATTGGACTGTGCTGGGTCATGACAGAGAGCAAAAGGAAGCAGAAATTTCTCCAGCCTGAAAGCAGAGGAGGAAAATGCAAAGGAAGTTTTCCCCAACAGTCAAAAGAACGAATTTGCTGGAGTCTTTGTATCATATCATCCCATTTCTCCTGAGTTTTGATGCAGTGTGATCCCCACATGGCTGGCTCCAAAGAGCCGAAAAACTGAAGCATATGGGGTGGTGTGGGGTAAAAGCAGGAGCCCTATGCCTAGGATACCACAGTTATGGCTTTCCCCAAAGAATTCTAGGTAGGTAGTTAAAGGTGCTGAGAGTTGTTAGGAGGCCCCTATTCCCTTCACAGAAGTACAATTCTCAAAAGTGATTCAGCAGCCTCTTTCATCAGAAGTGCTTGGGCACCATTTTTGCGTGCAGAGCTGAGCCGCGATGGGTGAAAGAGGGAGAGGAGCTGGGGACCATGAGAATGACTTGCGCACAGTTATAGGAGCCAGCTCCCAGGGGCCGAGATATGGAAATATTGTATTGGAGGGGGGCTGCTCCACATCTTGTGATCTATGAGGTGAGGCAGAGCTTATCTGCCTCCCCCCATATTTTAAGTTGGCACCCCAGCAGACAGTCCTGTTACCTCTGCTGCTTGGCTCCCTCTCCCTCTCCAAGCCCAGCAGCAGCCATGTTCCTGCTACTTTCTCGCAAGGGCAAGGGCAATGCCCATCAACTTTTTTGGGAGGGGGTGCCCCTCAAATATGATATTTGGAGGGGAAACACATGTAGACTCCTAACTCTGTGGTTAAAGTGGTTATCAGAGGCTGTCACAGGGGGAGGGGCCTGCTCTGAAGCATGCTGGGCAAGTGTAAACCCCATGAGACCCCCCCAGTGTGCCCCCCCAGCATTTTCTCCCTAGCGGAGGGGGGATACAAGCAGCTCCTCCTATTCAGCAAGAGGCCACTGCAGAGACATTAGTTCTCTCCCACTGTTTTGCATTGCTTGCTTTTACGAATGTAACTGAGCATCTAACTCTGCTCTCAGCATGGCAACCCCAAATTTCCAGAGCTTGTTTCTGTGAGCTCATTAGTGCGGTAGACACCATGTTTCCTTCTATCTCGTCCGGCTGTATACTTGAGCTGCCTTCTTTCACTGCTCCAGGAGATTCATGTTTGAGAGACTCCCTTGCATGGCAGCGAACTCCTAGGGGCTGTTTCATATATGTTGGAAGGTGCCCAGGCTGGCTGGCACAACCCAGTCAGATGGGCAGGGTACAAATAATAAAATGCTGTCATTGTTGTTGTTGTTCTGAGTCATTTTGGATGGTGTTTGGTGTTGTTGTTGATTGAATTTATATACCGCCCTATACTCGGGGGTCTCAGGGCATTTCACAGATTAAATCAAGATATAAAACCACAAGATACCAAATAAAAATAAAACAACAGAACAATACCCACCCCCCAAAAAACACATTTAAAAAGGGCATAGGATATAAATCGGACCAGCCAAAGACCTGGTTGAAAAGGAATGTTTTTGCCTGGTGCCTAAAGGTGTATAATGAAGGCGCCAGGCGAACTTCCCTGGGGAGAGCATTCCACAGATGGGCAGCCACTGCAGAGAAGGCCTGCTCTTGTGTTGCCACCCTCTGGACCTCTTGAGGAGGAGGGACACGAAGGAGGGTCTCAGAAGATGATCTCAGGGGAGCCAGAATCTAGTACCAAAAGAGTTTTAGAACTGATTCAAGAATTTGGTCAAGTTGCAGGATTTAAGTTGAATAAGTTAAAGACCAAGGTTTTAGAGAAAAATTTAACACCAATGGAGAGAGAGAGGTTTCAGAATGAGACAGGTTTAACAGTGGTTAAGAAAGTTAAATATTTGGGGATTAACATGACAGCAAAAAATGGGAACTTATTTAAAGACAACTATGAAAAATGCTGGGCTGAAGTGAAAAAAGATTTGGAAATTTGGTCAAATTTGAAGCTTTCACTGCTGGGCCGTATTGCTGCGGTAAAAATGAATGTATTGCCTAGAATGTTGTTTTTGTTTCAAACATTGCAAATTGTGGACAAAATGGATTGTTTCAAGAGGTGGCAGAGAGATATTTCTAAATTTGTCTGGCAGGGCAAGAAGCCTAGAATAAAATTTAAAATATTAACAGATGCAAAGGAAAGAGGTGGATTTGCCCTGCCAGACTTTAAACTTTACTATGAATCAGCAGCTTTCTGCTGGTTGAAAGAATGGTTGCTTCTTGAAAACACTGACATTTTGGATTTAGAAGGTTTTAACAATGTATTTGGATGGCATGCATATCTGTGGTATGATAAGGTCAAAGCACATAAAACATTTAAAAATCACATCGTCAGGAAAGCATTGTTTAATGTCTGGATAAGATACAAGGACTTATTGGAAAATAAAACTCCAAGGTGGCTGTCACCGATGGAAGCAAAAGCTCTGAAAAAGCTCAATATGGAGGCCAAATGGCCGAAATATTGGGAAATTTTGGAACAAGATGGAGATAGACTGAAATTGCAGAGTTTTGAGAAATTAAAAAACAAAGTGCGAGACTGGCTTCATTATTATCAGATAATGGAGGCATATAATTTGGATAAGAAAATTGGTTTCCAGGTGGAAAAATCAAAATTAGAAACAGAACTATTAGAACCCAAAACTAAGATTTTGTCAAAGATGTATAACTTGCTGTTGAAATGGAATACTCAGGATGAAACGGTGAAATCTGTTATGATTAAATGGGCACAAGATGTTGGTCATAACATAATGATGGCCGACTGGGAACAGTTATGGACCACAGGTATGAAGTTCACGGCATGTAATGCCTTAAGAGAGAATATTATGAAAATGATCTACAGGTGGTACATGACCCCAGTCAAGCTTGCAAAAATCTATCATTTGCCCGATAACAAATGTTGGAAATGTAAAGAAACTGAAGGTACATTCTTTCACCTTTGGTGGACATGCCCAAGGATTAAGGCTTTCTGGGAAATGATATATAATGAACTGAAAAAGATATTTAAATATACCTTCTTGAAGAAACCAGAGGCCTTTCTCCTGGGCATAGTCGGCCAATTGGTGTCAAAGAAGGATAGAACCTTTTTTATGTACGCCACAACAGCAGCAAGAATACTCATTGCAAAGTATTGGAAGACACAAGATCTACCCACTCTGGAAGAATGGCAGATGATGCTGATGGACTATATGGAACTGGCAGAAATGACTGGCAGAATCCGAGACCAGGGAAAAGAGTCGGTGGAAGAAGATTGGAAGAAGTTCAAAGATTATCTACAGAAATACTGTAAAATTAATGAATGTTAGAATGATGTTGGATAGAAATTAAGTGGTTTCTAGCTGTAATGCTTTAAGGGAATATGAAAAAGGGGTTATTAAGAGGTAAAAATTTAATGTTATTATTTTAAGACCAAAGATTAGGATAAATAAAGAGGGTAAGGATTTGCTGAACCAACAAACTGAACTGGAATACAAAAAAGGGAGGTATGAGGAGGTCCGGGAAACAAGCTAAAGAAAAATAAGCAATGGAAAATCTGAGTGTTTTTAATCATTTTTATTTTGTATGTTTTTTCTTTTTCATTTTTCATTGTAATATTTTAAAAAATCCTAATAAATTTCTTATTAAAAAAAAACAACAGAAGATGATCTCAGGGTCCGGGTAGGTTCATATGTTGTTGTGACTAATAATATATAAATTGTTTTTAAAGATGGGTTGGCTGGCCTGATCTGGTGTGATCTGGGATTGCCTCAACATAATCTGACCCAATCCTATGTTGATACAAATTGGCCCAGTCCAATTCATTAATTGGATTGGGCTGTATCTGATGCACAGCCCAAGTGAAACGTGTTCTTAAATAAACTGAAAATTTTCTAGCAACACTTAGCTCTAGAGCCCCTGCTGCCATATTGTCCAAGTCTCTTTCTCAGATGCCATAATTCTCCTCATGAAGTTCCATTCTCAGTGCCACAGACGCTTCAACACGAAACATAAGTCCCTTGCAGTTCGGTCTCAGCTGTTCAGAAAGCCAAAGCAGTCTTGTAAATCAGATGATGTTGGGCAGAGTCTGAGAAGCTTGTGCTCAGACCCACCCATGAAAATATCAAATAAGTATGGAGGAAAGTAAACCCACTTAACTTCCTCCACAAAGATCCCCTGGATTTAGGTAGGCTCAATCCAATTTGTAGGGTCTCCTATGCCTGCAAATTTCACCCACTTTGGCCAAAAGGGGATTATTTGATTCCTCATTATAATGAATGGGGACACAGAGCTTTATTTGGTTAGAGTTGTGCGGAACCCAAAACACAGATATAAGCAGAGAGAGTACAGAGTAATTAATGCACAGATACTTGTTCACACCTAGTGAGTTTGAATGTGTTTTGCTATTTGTCAATAAAAACTATATTACTTTGTCTGTTTATTTGTGTTGGCAGCCAGTGGGGGAACATTTCAACCTCCAAGGACGTTGCTGTAAGGTTTTACAGAAAAGTTGCATTCTGAGGAGGGCTAAACTCATTCCACAAATAAGAGCTGGTGTTGCTGACTCCCAACTTGATGCATAGCCAATGCATAGCCATCTCTTAGTGCAGCTGCTAGTAGCTGTCAGTGTAACCACCTCCGACAGCTGGAAAAACTTGGATTTTTATCCCAGCAGCTGGTAAAATCACGTATGGACTATAACAATCTCAAAAACAATTGGCTAGTGCTTGGAATGAACAAGTTCAATGTGCACTGAATTACTTTGAAAAATATCTGAACTACATGTGAAAGTAGTTCCCATAATTGCTGGGTAAACTGAACATGAATTAAGTTGATGTTGGGGCAAAATGAAGAATGATTTCTGGCTCATCTTCAAGTTCATTGCCACTTTCTAAATGCTTTAGAGTATTTATACAAACAAAATTGGGGCTTTTCTCAAAAACCCAAAAATTGGGGTTTTTCTCAAAAACCAAGAAAGATCTGGAGTTATTTGTGGCAGGAGGACACCCAAAACTCCCTCTACTCTACTCTACTCTACTCTACTCTACTCTACTCCCTCTTTGTTGAAGATGAACCAGTCTTTCTCAGTTTCATAGCATCCTAAAATACAAGGAAATTTGTGGGTATGTGTATGCTTACTTCCAGAGAAAAAACCCTCCCCAAAGGCTCAGGCTTCCCCTACCCACCCACCCAGCTGGTGAAGAAAAGAAAAGATTAATCATTACAGCAAGGAGGCTGAGAGAAAACAGGCTTGTGGTTCAGGTTAGGACACCTAAATCTGGACTGTTGCCTATAGCTTTCCCATGGCTGGATTAAATGATTTTTTAAAACAAAAATTAGAACAGTTGTGGAAATCATTGCAGTAGGGAGGATTCAGAAAAAAAACATTTCTCATAATTTTAATATTTATTATTTCATTGAGATTAAGTCAATAAGGGAAAAGGAAATAATAGAAATCAAAGGAGGAAGAGAATACATTAAAACATTTTTAAAAGCAGCAATAACAAAATAACCACAAAATATACTAAAGGCTACAAAACTATATAGTATATTTTTGCATGGATAAGCATGTCTCGCAGGATCCCACCCAAGAAGATATCTGGGTTAGATCTTGTTTAATTTCAACTGCTTCAGATTTTGATATCTCCTCATCAAGATCGGTAACTTTTTGATCCAGGGCTGTAATTTTAAGATTCAACTTTGATAATTTATCCCTCAGATATTAATTCTGCATCACAATTTACTTAGGCGTATCAGCAATAGAACTCTCTGAAGCCATTTCTCTTCTCTTCTTTTCTCCATTCTTTATGTTTTCCTGCTGCAAATTTGCTGCATGTCGGAGGAGGAGACATCTGTCATTTTAACACAGACAGGTAGGAGATAAGAAACCTCTAAACTGGATAAAAATTGTCCAGGCAGGCTACTGATTAAGCGTTGTTACAATAGGGCTGCCATATGTCTGGGATTCATCCGTTGGAAGTAGTGTCCAGGCAGAATTCTTGAAAATTGGTAAAAATGTTTGTGAAATGTCAGAAGTGTTGATTTTTTGGGGTAGATTTCCTTTAAAATAGCTCAAGAACTTCTTTTGTTTTGGGGAGATTTTGCCAAAAAAAGCTCATCAACTTTGCCCTCCCCATCTCTATAACTTTGCCCCCCCCCATAAGCGAAAAGCTCAACAACTTTTGTCTCCAGATTTTCACTTTTTGAAATATGGCAACCCTACGAGTGCTGAGCTGAAGAGTAATAAAGGGAGCATGCTAGGATGCCATGTTGCAAGACCGGAAGTAGAACTTGTGAAGAAAGCAATTGGTTGATGCTGTGGTAGAAAGATGAGATTATGCATGTTGTACCTGGATGTCTCTTCCCAAGTAGATGTATTGGCTGTTTACTTGCGTCTCTTGGGCTCAGCAGCCTTTGCCAGAACTTTCTCTGCATCTTTCACAGCGTTTTCCAGGAAATTCTTCAGCAAGTAGAATGTGGTAGCAAAAGAACTGCCCCCACCATAGAGAGACCCCAACACAGGTATGAAATCCAGAACCAGCTCTACCACTCTGATTGTTCCCCATATTGCTGACCTCTTCAAGATATCCATGACGAATTCTTTCGTGATATTACTGGTGCTTGGGGTATGTTCAATAACAGATTTCAACTCCTCAACAGGTTTCCCCACACGATTTGCTAGTATATTGAGGGAATCTTCATCCAAGCCAAAAACTTTGCAGATATCCCTCATGGTCACAGCGACAATGGCAATGTCACAACCAAGCGCGAGGAATGGGAGAGGAATCAACCCAACAGAACAACTCAACATGGCTTTTTTCCATATCAGGCTCTCCATAGTAGCCTTTTTCTTTGTAATGCTATCTTTTGTTAAAATTGGAAGAGACATAATTAAAACATCTCTCTTGATTTCATCCTGTTCCTTTTCAAAGGTCTCTTGAAGCCGGGGGAAATCATACCTGCCAAAATCCCAACTGGATATTAGAAAGACCCTTGGAGAAGCCTCACCTAATGCCTTCAAATTATCATAGCTATCTTTCCGTATAATGTCAAGAGTCTTCTTCTCAGCCTGCATCTTCTCATGGGTGTCCTCCACATTGATGCGTTTTGACCGCCTGTAGTTTTCTATATCAATATCCACTTTGCTGCGCACATAGTAGAATTTCTTCTTATTTTTACGGATCTCAAGAGCCAAATTGGTTTCATGTATAGTGAAGCGATCTGAGGCGATGATGATGAAAAAATCATACTTGCTGAAATTGACCTTCTTTAGGTATTCCTCTGCATTAAATTCATTTTTTCCAAGTCCTGGTAGATCCCAAATTTTGACTTTGGGGAATGCAGGGTGTGTATATTCTTGTGGCACCATTGTTGTTTCTCTCAGCCCTGTCAGAGCTGCACCCTTTTCATGGTCTTTCATTCCCCGCAGAGCATTGACAAAAGATGATTTCCCGGCACCAGATCTTCCTGTGATGGCAATTTCCAACGTGGCGTTATTTAATAAATTTGACTGCTCTTTAGCTTCAGCCGAAACAGCTTCAAATGTTTTTCTCTTGAAAGAAGACTTCACTTGATCAAGGTCTTTTTCTAAGGTTTTTTTTGTTAAGGCAGGATCCATGGCAGTGATTCCTTGTGGCTCAGTTTATCTGTGAAAGAAAAGAAAACTACAATAGTTAAATGATAGCCTTCAACACACTTTTATGGACATATTTACAATCCATGGTTTATGGGGGGGGGGGATTCAATTTACATAGGACATATCTCTAAGACCAGTGGGTTGTTTGAGCAGCAGTTGGTAGTATTTCAATAAAGTGAAGAATTGTGCCTGTTGTCAATCTCTCAGAAATCTCTATGTGCATGCATTCACACATAACCCTTAAAACATGTTTATGTGGGATGTGGGTCTTTTTTGAACTCAAATTATTCATTCCTCTAGAGATGTGTCTAAAGGAAGCATTTACACCCCAATAAAGATTCCCTTTTTGGCTAAAACTTTGGATAAAACACTTCATAAATAAATAAGTCAATGCACTGTGCATATCCCTCGTATATTCTGGCCAAGTCTTGTCCTGCCACGGGCGAGATTAGCTCCGTCAGCCGAGGAAGACGCTCGAGTGGCCAAGATGGTGGACGTACTGGACCTTCATGAGGCGGGCGGCGAGGACTTCGCCATGGACGAGGATGGCGACGAAAGCATCCACAAACTGAAGGAAAAAGCAAAGAAGAGGAAAGGCAGAGGGTTTGGGTCAGAGGAGGGTTCCAGAGCCCGTGTCCGTGAGGATTACGACAGCGTGGAGCAAGATGGGGATGAGCCGGGTCCCCAGAGATCGGTGGAAGGCTGGATTCTCTTCGTCACGGGCGTCCACGAGGAGGCCACCGAGGAGGACATTCATGACAAGTTTGCAGAGTTTGGGGAAATCAAGAACCTCCACCTGAATCTTGACCGGCGGACAGGTTACCTGAAGGGCTACACCCTGGTAGAATATGAAACATACAAAGAAGCCCAGGCAGCCACGGAGGGACTGAATGGACAAGACCTTATGGGGCAGCCGATCAGCGTGGATTGGTGTTTTGTCAGGGGACCTCCGAAAGGGAAGCGAAGGGGTGGCCGTAGAAGGAGCAGGAGTCCTGACAGAAGGAGGCGCTAAAGGTGGGGAGGGAGGTTCTCCTTTTTGCGATGCTTGTGATGTTAAGTCCTGGCGAACCAGAAGGAAATGCCCATCTGCACTAAGAGACCATATGCTTGCATCTTTTTCTCTCCACCCCCCCCCCCCCGGTTAATTTTGTATTTACACAGTTTGACTATTTCTTAATTACTCTCAATCTGATGTCTCAGTTTACATGAGATTTCCTGTTATTGGTGTCCTTGGACATACGTCCTCCTGTGTCTTGGTACAAGTCATTGTGCTTTTTAGTCTTTGAGAAGGGACTGTCTGAAAGCAATGTTCAGAATAAAAAGATAATGGACTTTTTTTAAAAAAATTTTTTTTTTAAAAAGTCTTGTTCTGCCACTTTTACAAAAGTCACCAGTAAAAAAAAGAATATTTTTAGAAATGTCATCAAGGGGGAGGTAAAAAAAAAGGAGTCAGAGGGTCGAAATAAGTGATGCAGAAAGAGCCCAGAAATATTCTTAAAGGTCATTAATACTGGGGAAAATATCCACATTGGGTTCTTGTCAACTAACTTTTATTCAGCAATGACTCAATGAAATTAATAACCATGCCTAAGGTCCATTAATTTTAATAGATTTACTCTGAGTAAATGTTAGTTGAAGACAACCCATTATCAGCAACATTATCTTGTCCTGAAAGCTATATAAATATAACGAATAAATAAATGAAATACAACTAAAAGAAAAAAGAGCATAAAATCCTTTTTAGAATTAAGACATCCGAGGACCTAACTGCATGATACTTAAGTGTGGGTGTTATCAGTGGAGTTTTGTTTGTTCGTCTGTCTGTCTTAATTGATATGGGGAGGCGATTTTGCAGCAGGACTAAGGTGCATGGAGAAGGGAAGTTTCATATTTCGTACCACAGTCATAGAAGGATACGGAAAGCCCCAAAAGGGCGACTTGGGAAAGTCGTAGAATCGTAGCACTGTAGAGTTGGAAGGGACCCTGAGGGTCATCTAGTTCAACCCCCTGCAATGCAGGAATATGCAGCTGGTCCATACAGGGACCTGCAACCTTGGCGTTATCAGCACCATGGTCTAACCCACTGAGCTATCCAGGCTCATCAGGCAGCACCAACCCAGAACCAAGAGAACCTCCAGCATCTTGAACCTCCAGCCCTGCCTCGAACCCTTGCCATGCAGTTTCTCTAATCAGAAGTAGCTCACAGATACCATTTTTGCACGTCAGCAAGTGCTGGGGCACAGCTGTGTTCCTGCTGCTTTCTTTCAGGAATAATACCCATCAAAAGGGGGGGGGGGCTCTGCAGAGGGATATATTGAATTAACATGCGAAAGGGAGACGGGTTGCATTGGCTTCAGGGCAGTTACTTAAAACTCTAAAAGTAGCACTAGCTACTTGTGGCATGTTATTTACTGTATTCCCTTTGCCGCGGGAAAGAAGGGCAGCCTTCTAGAACCTCATTGTTGGTAATAATATGATTGTTTACGATACGATATGATCAGTGCTTTTTTCTGGGGGGACGCAGGGGTACACGTACCCCTAAACATTTTGTTGTTACCACCTCCGATGGCGGCTTCCTTTCTTTCCCAGAAAGGAATCAGGAAGACGTTAGTGCACACAACCTCATGCCAATGTGGAAGTTACTGTGAGCTGCGTAATATGAGGTAATGCATGTTCTTTGCACTTTTGTCCATTTATTGTATTTATTTTTCCCGATTTGAACTATAAAAAGGTGGTTTTGAATGGTCAAATGAGAGTACCCCTAAACATTTTTAAAGGAAAAAAAACCACTGGATATAATATGATATAATAATATAATATCACAATAGCTATAATATAATTAATGTAATAACAATAAAAAGGAAAAAAAGGTAAAAGGTAAAAATAAAAAAGTAAAAGGTAAAAAAACCCCCAGCAACAACAATCGTTCTGCCAAGCAAGAAGCTCAGAGTCTCCTTTAATGCAAACAAGCTCAAAAAGAAACGGAAATCATGAGAAAAGTTCAACTCCTTACCTGCTGCTGAACTGATTTTTTGCAGCCAAGCTCAGTCGTCTTCTTGGAGGTTTCGCTTCGAGGTTTCTTGCACTTTTCTCCCACCTTCTCTCATTGTTTGCCTCTTTTATACCCTCTCTCCCTCCTGATCTTCACACCACTGAAAGCAAAAAAGAAAGCGAAGGTAACCAGCGAGGATGAGATAAGATCGCAAGGAATAGCCGAAGCCCCATTCCTGGCCAGAGTCCAAGCAGCCCGTTTGCCAGCTGGGATGCTGCCTTTTCTGGGAAGTCCCAAAGGATCACCTGTGGAAGCATCCCATGAAAGTAATCCTTCACCTCTGCTGTTGTTGCCTCTGTGCCAGTCTCAGCAGCACCTGAGTTGTCTGCACTTAAGCAGCGTGGCATTGAAGAAAGAGGACTACCCAGAGCCCAGCCTTCCTACTACTGCAGTGTAGAATATTTGCAAAGGAGCTACAAATTTCCCAGTTTTTTTAACCTTCTAGTTAATCAGGTGCATTCATTTCAGCTGGTATGCTCTGAACATGAGTAATGTTGGATAAAATCCATAGGCTGTGGTGTAAATGGCAAACTGGGGGAGCAGAGCAGCGCTATGAGGAGAATTCGGCTGATCAGGACATGTGGTGTCCATGGTTGCACAACCAGACCAGCATGTGCAGTACATCAGATGCGCACTGGGCACAGACTTATTAATATAAGAATGCAATGACAACAAGGTTCTGCCTCCTGTCTGAAGTGTGTCAAGTTCTTTCTTCCAACCCTATCCTGTTATTTGCATCAAAATAGACCAGGTGGGGGGTAGTGAAAGGATTGCATTAGCATGTGCAGAGAAACACTGTTCTGCTTAGGGAGCCCTTTCAACACTAACTTGTCTACTGAGGGCCTCCTGCACATCATTTGTCACGTGACCCATTTGCATTGCAGAAAATTCTGAGAATGGAAAATCATCATGGAAAGGTCTTACCCAAATACCTTCAGTGAAGAGGAAGTCCTTGAAAAGATGAGGAATGACTTCAAGAAGCAGCTTGAGAAGTGGTTCAGGAACACCTTCCCTCAAGTCTTTTTGATCTCCTCCTGGGACCTTCGCAAGTATGATTTCCCTCAACTGGTGGAGACATTGAAGAAACCTCTGCCCTGCCTGAAGAGACTTGCATTCCTGCTCAGCCTTCCCAACTTTTCATCTGAGGTCATAGAAAAGAAGAAATCTGCACTGAAGAGCTGTGGAAAATATCTCTGGCATCTGCTGGCATCAATGAGATTCCCATTCCGGGCCTTCCTCTGGCTTCTGATGTTGCCCTCTTGTGTGGGTCCATGGTTGCCTTCTACAAGAGATTTGAGCTGGCTCCTTTGCTAGGCTGGCCAAATTGGCCAAGAAGCCTGTTGAAGAACTGAAGGCTGTGATTAAGTCTCCTCAGAGGAAAGAAATTACCAGGGATCTGGTTATAAAGAAAATAACCGATTATGCAAAAGAATTATTCCCGCCTTCGCTAGTTAGAAGCTTGGTAGCAGCAGGGGTGTCTTTTGCCACCACTTACTGGATGCTGTCGAGCTTCGTCGATAATCTAGCTGAGGATGCTGAAAGGGTTCGAAAGAAAGCCCTAGGACTGGAAGAGTGTGAGGCAGAGCATCTCAGGGCCAAGTAGAACTGGCACAAGACATGATGCAAGCCAAGGTGGGGTAATAGGAGCTGCTGCTGCTGCTGCTGCTATGGCAAGTCTTCCCACTTTGGCACTCCTTTTCATACCCATTTTGGCTGGTTCTAGAGACAATGGAGCAGACCCTATAGCTGATTTGCCTTATCGCAATACGACACAATCAAGTTCAGATGTAAAATAGGCACATTTGTTATATTAACGTAACATGCTATTGAAACCTTCTGTGTAACTTCTACCCAGGTAGAAGTTTAAGAAAGAGAATTGTTTGATTTCGATGTAGTTTTATTACATGTTGCTAAAATTATTTTGTTAGATGATAGTAGGCAATAATCAAAATTACTTTAGCAGTTGAAGTGCAGGTATTTTGGACATATAGCTTTTTCTTTTCTAAGGTTGCAGATTTTGTGGAATGTAATCTTGCTTTCCTTCGATAATTGAGAAAGCTTAGGAAAAATTACTTTCATCAAAGGCAAAAAATGGGAATAAATATCCATTCCTTTGAGCACCCCCCTCTTTCATTTGACCCATATAATATTTTGCTCCCTACCCAATTCTAGCCTTGCTGATTCAGGCAATTATAATTTAGTTAAGATTTAGTCAAGGTTTCTCAGCTTTAACAATATTTTAGATTTGTAAAGGTAACATATTATCATGTTTTTATGTTATTAACCTCATTTATTTTATTTTCTGTAGTGCTCAATTAAGTTTCACCAAGTAAAGGAAATGTGTTTCCTACGTGCCTGAAGGCTTATCCTTGAACACTGAATTTTCTGTGTTGATATGAAGGGGGGCTAATTTCGTTGTAAAGGGAACTGACATGAGAAACTGGATTTCTGCTTCACAGAAATCGAGCTTAGATTTCCCCCTGAACAAAGCAAAACCGTCACACTGCCTGCTCTCCTTTCCGCTTTTACTTTCAAAATGCTTTGCTGTCACTAATGCAGCAGCCCCTCTATTCTCCCTTGCTTTGCGGAAGAGGGTCATCTCTCAAAGGGAGACATTCTGGGTTAGGTGGCCGGGGAGAGTTGCCTGCACACACAAGTTTCCACAGGGGCTAGAAATTGTTTTAAAACATAGTTAAAAGTTCAAGATTAATAAACTAAGGACTTGCAACTACTTCGAACTTTTTGTTATCATATTCTTTCAGACAACAACAAAATACCCCAAACGGTTGAAATAGGTCTTAATGGCATTTGATATCCTTACTACCTGCCTCGCACCCCAGCAGTTTCCTTGCCTGAGCCAAAAGAGCTTCTCGGAGGGGGGGTTGAGGAGTCATTGACTGCTGGTTTGGGGGGACTTCAGCATCCATGCCAAGGTGACCAGCTCTGGGGTGGCTTAGGACCTCATAGCTGCCATGACAACCATGGGGCTGTCCCAACATGTCAACAGCCCAATCCATGTGGCAGGCCACTCTGGACCTTGTTTTCTCAACTGGCCAAGAAGAGCGTGATCTGAAAGTGGGGCATAGCGACATCAGTCCCTTGTCATGGTCAGATCACTTCCTGTTGAGATTTAGGCTTTCAGCACCTTTTCCCCTCTGCAGAGCTGGGGGACCTAATAGCATGGTCCGCCCTCAGAGATGGCTGCCATAGTACCAAAATAGACATGTGATAGGTGCGTTGGGTTCACCTTAGGGCGACCTCATTTAGGTTTCGTTTTCTCAGAAATCACCTGTTTGAGAAGATGTGTGCTGGTCAAGCGGGGGTGTAATTTATGCTCCAAGATAACAAAAAGCCACGACTACTTTCCCCTTTCCAAGATTAAGTGGGGTAAATAAGTAATCAGCAAGAGAGCATTTATTGCTCTGTTGCTGAGCAATACATGATTGCACCGGTTTATTATTTTTTTGATCATATCTCAGAGTCCCAAAGATGCATAGTGATAGCAGCATTCTGCCATAGGGAATTTTATTAGCGTCAGTCATTTCTAAACTCTTACCGCAGTACAGTGTGTCAAAAGATTTCAGATTAAAATTTCCACTGCTGGCACTGAGAGCGGGGGACAAGAAATTCCCGCTGCAGACACTTCTCAGTTGGCTTTGCAGATGCAGCTGCTACCTGCCTGTCCGGTCTGCAAGGAGAGGGAGTTGGAGGGTGGGGGTGGCGAAGAGCTCCAGCTCCCAAAGCTACACGAAGGTGGAGGACCATCTGGGGGAAGGGAAGGTGAGTCTCTCTGCGTGAGGCTGCAGAAACCCTTGAAGGAACCCGTGCCTGGTGCCCCCCTGTATTATGTCCCCTAGGGCTGAGGGTGTCAGATAAGACACAGGCTTTGCTGTCAGTCTAGGATCACTCTGAGGAGAGTTTGGTGTCCTTCCTGCCTGCCTGATTTGCAAAGCCAGCATGTCGTGCAGGCTCTAAAGCCGCTCTGCACCCTGCAGAATGTTATAACTTTTCTAAAAAATAAACTATTTCTTCCTCATGTTCAATCTTGTAATTTGAATCTTGTAATAGTTCAGGCCCTACCCTCCAGAGCAGAAGAAAACAAGCTTATTCCTTCTTCTGTGTGACAAGCCTTCAGATATTTGAAGATGGCTATCGTATCTCTTCTCAATCTCCTCTTTTCCAGGATACACATACCCAGCTCCTTCAACTGTTCCTCATAAGGCTTGGTTCCCAGAGCTTTGATCATCTTGGTCGCCCTCCTCTGAGAATGGAAAGGCCTCCTAAGGCATGTTATATGGGTTCACATGCTCAGACCTTTCAGGTTTCACTGTCACGGTCCATAGGCTGGGAATGTGCATAAACTCACAGATAGGCTGTGCCTTGTTGTATCTGTGTACTGAAGATCAGAAGTGATGACCGTGTATCACCGGTTTTGATCTTGAAATGACATACATACTTCTGATGGGAGACCCCTGAAATAAATAAATTAAGGTCTTATGTATATAATAAAGGTTCATAAATGTACCAGGCAAACACGTACATAGATATATAGGCCACATGTCTGAAGCTGCACAGGAGAGCAGCCATGGAGCCATTTTGACTCCCAGGCTGACCAGGGGTTTTCTCAGCAAGGTCAAATGGAGGAGCCTCCCCATTGTCTTTTCCTTCACAAATCCTGTCCTAAGGGTATGTCTGTGTATGAACAGGCTAAGCCTGTGACTTGGCTCAGGAACTAAGTACCTATCATTACAAAAGACTGGCCAGGCTGCCCAGGGTATCAATCCAGTAAACATTAACAGGTAACTTGCCACACAGTAGGTAAACAACCCACTCAGATTTCTGCCTTAGCCCACCCCTTCTGTGATGTAGGTATGATGTTTCTGGGGGTGGTCTTTGACTCCAAGGTGGGCAATTGAAAATGTCTATATAAGGGCGGACACACCTTGATTCTGGGTCCTCCTCTTTTCCTGTGTGTGATAAAGATCAGGCATAAAAGCTGCTTTGCTTCTCAATATTCTCTGGTTGGCCTCTGTTTCTTCCTCCGGCCGATGGAGAACTTACAAAGGACTCTATGAGGGCTCTTGTGTCCCCCATAAGGGAATAAGGGCAGATTTTCGTTTATTACACCCCAAACAGAGACTGAAAACCCCCATGTAGTTTAAAATCACCAAGGTACTTTGAGCTTATCTCTGACAAAAGCCTAATAAAGTGGTACAGGCACATATTTCTTACTAAATGCTCTGCTGCTGATTATTTGCAACTTTTTATCCTGCATAACCTTGAAAGGGGAAAGTAGCTTTGGGTTTTTATTATATTGTAGCAGAAATTACATGCTGTTTACAAGTTTTCCTCTCCCCCTCCCCTGCCCAGCACATAGTTCTGCTGTCTGAGAAAACAAAAGCTAAATGGAGTCGCTATAGGTTCTCCTTCTTGTAAATCATTTCTTGGACTGTGCTGGGTCATGACAGAGAGCAAAAGCTAGCAGTGTGAGGCTCACACTTCATCAAAACTCAGGAGGAATATGATGATATGATACAAAGACTTTAAACAAATGACATAATTTATAAATAAAAGCACCACTGACTCAACAGATTTCTTTCATCGCTTCCATTCCTGTTCATCTAGAATTGACCTCTTCTGCATTCATCTTCCACACCCATTTTTAAAATTATATTACAGTGGTACCTCGGGTTAAGAACTTAATTTGTTCTGGAGGTCTGTTCTTAACCTGAAACTGTTCTTAACCTGAAGCACCACTTCAGCTAATGGGGCTTCCTGCTGCCACTGCACCGCCGCTGCACAATTTCTGTTCTCATCCTGAAGCAAAGTTCTTAATCCAAGGTAATATTTCTGGGTTAGCGGAGTCTGTAACATGAAGCGTCTGTAACCTGAAGCGTATGTAACCCGAGGTACCACTGTATTAATACTAATACTCCAGAGGGAGTCCGTTCCACTGTCAAAGAGCTCTCGCTCTCAGAAAGTTCTTCCTCATGTTTAGTCAGAATCTCTTTCCTTGTAGCTTGAAGCTGTTTGTCCAGGTCTGACCATCTGGAGCAGGAGAAAGCAAGCTTGCACTGCCCTCCATATGGCAGCCCCTTGGATATCTGAAGATGGCTATCATTTCTCAGAGTCCAAAAGTCCCATGGTGATAGGTGAATTCTGCCACTGGGAGTTTTACTAGTGCAAACAGTTTCTGAACTCTTATCGCAATACACTGTGTACACACTGTGTACAATACACTCAGATTAAAATTGCTGCCACTGGCACTGTGGGCTGGATAGGAAAAGATCCTGCTGCAGCCGCTTCTCAGCTGGCTTTGCAGATCCAGCTGCTTCCTGCCTGCCCGGTCTGCAGGGGGTGGGGAAGAGCAACAGCTCCCCAGGCTGCAGGGAGCTGGAGGACAAGCTGGGGGAATGGAAGGCGAGCCTCTCTGCGTATGGCTGTAGAAACCCTGGAGTGAAGCAGCGCCATGGTCCCTTGCATCATCTCCTTCTCAGGTTGAGGATGGCGGATGAGACAAAGGCTTTGCTGTCCATCTAGGAACACTCTGTGGGGAGTTTGGTGTCCTGCCTGCCTGCCCGGACTGCAAAGCCAGCTTCTTGC